TAAGAAAATTCTACGTAGACGTTTTGACTTTTGTTACCATAAAAAGTAATTGGATTCAGAAAAAAAAACTTGGCATCGATTTCATTGTACGTTAATTACAACATCTAAAAATAGTTCGAATTCAGCCCACACAAAACTATTATACGTACGTACTTAAATCTTAACCAAATAGTTATACATGCGTTTACATATAACATTTCTTGACGGTTATGAATTCATTTTATGTAACACATGAAACAAGTCATCCACGTGCTTCTTATATTTGAGATTCACCCAATTATTATCTCTATCATATAATTACTATATACGGTTAAAATAATTTGTTTCCCACTCTGTTAATAAATATAAATATCACGGCTACCCCACTCCTAGGCCTAAAAAAAAAAAAAAAAAAAGTCTTTCACCTGTTTCGTTTCTTTTAATCATTTTCCACAGGAACGAATAACTAAGACTAAAAAACAAACAACCTAGCTTGGACATAAGTAACCATGTCACGATTCATTTATTTTCTCACTCTATTCTTGGTTTTTATTGGGTCTACTTTAGCCGGTACGTTGTTAGTTTTTCTTTTTGCTTATTATTTAAAGCGAGTTTGATTATAAGTCAAATAGGGATGTTATTTGGCATACCTAGCTTATTTTGAATATAAATTTATTGCTTGATTAAAAAAATTTCATGAATTGTATAATTCCGACTATGTATTAGATAATCATAAGCGAAATAAAAATAAAAAAAAATAAGTAACCAAATAATATCCCAAAGGGCATAAATAATTCGAATTAAATAAACTAATCAATATTAAAATTGTACTCATATTTTCAGATGTTGGAACAGTTAACACGCCTACTGGTAATATTGCAAAAGGTGCCACTATTCCGGTCACTTGGACCTATACTCCAGGGAATGCGGCTGCGGGTGTTTTACGAGTTGTCAATAACGCAACTGGGAACTCTCAAACACTTAATGATAATCTAAACCTCGCTACCCAATCCTACTCATGGTTGGTCAATGTTGACCCCGCTGTTTATTATTTTGCTCTCAACGACGGGACCGGTGATAAATATTCTGGACAGTTCACCGTTGTTCAAGGTAGTGGTAGCGCCGCCTCTGGCACTGCACCTCCTCAACCTGCTCAATCTCAATCTCGCGCTACATCTGCCCCTGCTGCCCCTGTTGCCACTAGCCCTCCCCCTACTGGATCTTCTCAACCTCAACCTCAACCTCAACCTCAATCTGCTAAACAACCCGCTGCCTCTCAAGCACCTGCAGGAAGTTCGGCACCCTCGTAAGTATTTTACGATTTATATCTGATATACATAAAGTTTAAAGCATCTAAACAATCAATTTTAACCATGTTATATATTTTTTAGTGCTGCTAAATCAACTTCGGCACCTTCAGCAAATACTGCCGCAAGTTTCACTGGATCAAGCTTTTCTGGATACAAACTTCTGTTTAGTCTTATTGTAGTAGCTGCAGCAATGGTTCATTTTGCCTAAAAATTTATAATCCTAGAACTAGAAAACCCGTTAATTTTAAAAATTTTAACCATTTACACATTTTCTATCTACCAAATGATAAACCTTTGAATATATTAAAGAATAGTGTTAAAATATATACGTAATATAATATAATTATTAGAATTTAATGCTTGGGAATAAAATGCCAGTTGTTTTTTTTTTTTTTTTAATTATTAAATTAACGAAAATTATGATAAAGCGTGTACTATCTTATCTCATCTCATGTAAAAATAAAAATGTAATTTGTTCACTTATATCTACAAAGATTTCTTGTTAACCACACATAAATCGATAAAATATTGTATGTATGTACGTACGTACGTTAGCGCGATAGGGGCTGCAGGATTGTTAATAAAATGATGAATTAGAGTTACATTACTTGTAATAGATATTTATCCAATTAAAGTCTATCACTTAATAACTCCTAAATTTTTAACAAATGTATTAGTATGTACATACGTACGTTGAAAAAGGAAAAATGGCTTCCGGAGTAGAAATGCAGTAGAAACCGTTACGGCTTATGCCGTAACTAATTAAAGCTTATGTTGTAACTGGTTACTGCATCTCTGCTCCGGAGTATAGATGGGTTGGAATATAGAATATGCTATAACACTACGTATAAGTACTACGCTAAAACTATTCAAATTACTTTAATAATGTAAGTTTTCAATCGAGGCATTGATTAGACTACATCACGAACCCTATAATATCGAGTCACAGATTTACACAATAGACCAGAATAACAGTAAAACCAAACCAATAACGATAAGAATGTTTCATCGGTCAATTAGTCCAGGTTTTTAAGAACCTGCTTCTTAATTGGGTTGAAAACATTATTACATGATGATGATAATAATTACTATAGCTATCGTTATCACTGTAAAATTTGAAATCAAGCAACTCGTTAAAAAAAAGAATATGATTGATGCCAAGAGAGTAGAATAATCAATTTGGTAAGTTGATGCCAAGAGAATGACGTATTCAAGTTGGTACCTGCTTTTTTGTTTACCCTTATCTAATCTATTATTATATATCGATATTAGAGAACTATTTTGGACAATGCCAAAGTATATAATTCTAATAAGATAGGGTAAAACCCACGTCAGAGATAGTTACTTTATTGACCTAATTAGTATTCAACCCTAATTAAATATAGATCTGCATCAAAAAGTAACCTTAAAAAATGGGAGTTTCACCATTTCGTCTCCACATTGATAATCAATTCAAGTTTCACCTTAATCCTGTCATAATAATTAACGAAATGTAAATGTTTTCAATACCAAACAAAGAGATTTGTATACAACATTTAAGACTTGTCTATCATTATAAGAAAGGGGTAGCAGGCAATAAAATAGGATAGGAATGATAATTGATCCCGCAGCAATTATGGGCAAATTTTGAGCAAGTTTCATATAAAATTGGCATTGTTAACCGGTCTTCATTTGGCATAGAGATAGGATCTATTTTATTTGGTTCATATTTAAATTTAGCAAATATTTCGAATATCAGACAACTTTTTATTATAAGATTAAAAATGGCAAAAACTAGCGAATATCCGGATCCCATTTGTGATTTGGCAAGTATATACTTATAATAATAGGACCTAAATAGTAACGTAACCGCCTCTGACGCGGTTTTATCCTTCCGTATAAAGAATATATAATCAATTAAATATGTAACACTGAAATTAATTAGTACGAATCCAAATGAATTAGTACGAATTTCAAAAGGTTTCGTTTGAGGCAAATCTTCAACTATTCACTTTGACAATAGTGATCCCAAGATGCATATCAATATCGATATTCTACGACTGTGATCGTGTGATAAAAAATAAGGAAAAATTAAGATGGTGTTAAGAAAATATATGACAACAAAGATAGTGAAGGAAAAAAAAATATACATATAGAAAAATAAAATAAAATAAAATAATAACACTGATGGTATGGATCGACATGTTAATCATCAAGTTGCCTAAAAGTGGGCACTTGACGTGTGATT